CCGGGGGGGGAGGGATAGAAAAGAAAAACCAGATTCTACTCCCTAATGCAATGTTGGGTTTATGGATTTATTTTCATTTGAAATGTTTATTTACAGACTAGGACTCCAGAGGAAGCCTTCCAGGATTAAAGGATGCTGTAGTGTGAACTGGGGGTTTCTTCGGCTATCCGTGGCCACACTCTTTCCTCCTTCTACGCCCCAGAGAACTGTCACCAAGATGTCAAAAGATATCCAAGTAGATGACTATGAACAGCTCAGGGGGTTGAGGTCTCTGCCTGTGGAGCCAGAACATTAAAGAGTTCGATTCCCCCCTTGAGCCTCCTTCACAGAGGCTGGACTCGATGATCTACAGGGTTCCTTCCAGTTCTGCCGTTCCAAGATTTTTATTATATTAAAATATTGGAAAGTGTGTCATCAAGAATCCCTGCAGTGCTGGAGGTTTTCAGGGCAAGCCTCTACTTTATGAGCTCAGCTGAAGACGGGTGGTCTCCATCTGTATCCAGCCCACGTCAGTTTCACAGTATACTACCCTATGTCTTGTTCCACTGACTTCCACACCAGTCTGCGTTTGCAAAACAAAAAGCCACACAAACCTTTGTGGTTTTTTTAATATATAACTCTCCCAAACACTGGTTTCTGGACAGCTCAAAAATAAAATGGCTAAATTCATCCAATGCATTTTGGGCACCTTTCTAGGCCCAAGAGTTGTTTTTGCGTTTGACTCTTTGTCAAAGAATCTGTTTGTGTGTTATTCATAGGGTTCCTGCTGAATAAAGTCAGAGATAAGATGAGGATGTTGCTGCTGCTACTGTGGTTCAAGGAAGAGGCTAAGAATCCTTGCTCTATAGATCTGTAAATGAGATGCTGGCCATTCCTATGTCATGGGAGTGCTGGGAGGGCCAAAATAGCAACAAGCAGAATCATGCTGGAAAAAAAATCGAATCTAGATTCAACATCCATGAAGTCCCCATCTTTCAACAACAAAACCTGGCCTGCATATCTGACTGTGATTTTTTGGGACCTTTAAGGGGAGTTTTCCAGCACCCTCCACGGCACTACGGGGCCCAGCCAGCTGAAGACCAAAAAAGGTCAAAAGCTAGCACTTGCTTGTGATCTTTGGTGGTCTAATAAAGATACCAACTACTCCTGGCTTTAGAGTGTATTTTTTTAAAAAATGTTGACCATGTATGAGTCTTTTAAACTTTGCATTAACCTTGACCCATGTCCTGCTTGTCAGAAAGAAATTGGGTAACAATTCTTATACACCTTTAAGCATTTAATCATTTCTTTATGCAACAGTTTATACTCTCTCGCACACACGCACACACACAAACAGGTAGATGTGGGGATGTCCCCGCATGGCGGGGGGGGTTGGACTGGATGGTCTCAGTGGTCTCTTCCAACTCTTATGACTCTATGTCCCACTTGTGAGTCTTCACTGTTGCGCAACAGTCCAGTCGAGCAATGTTGACATTCTGCTGATGAATAAACCGGAAACGTTGGCTCTCTTTCTGACAACAGAGAATTTCTGCAAGTTTAAGCCTATTTTCACATAAGTACTATAAGTATTTTATTTGGTAACAAGAGCCAGGCGGTCACAGACGAAGTCAGTGATGGAGTGGTCTGGCTCCAGGCTCTCACGGGGCTACCAAAATAACTTTCTCAGAAACCTGTCTGGCAACGCCCTTCAGATTTTTTTTTTCTCTCTCTCTGTCTTGGTAGTAAACTTCGCCTCTGGCCGAGGACTATCCATGGTCTTTTATCTCCTCTGATAAGGACCTTGTTCACTTTGACTCCTTGTGTGAAGGGGGATTTCACATGATGGAGCAAGGAGAAGAAAGTGCCAAGAAATGATGCCAGCAGTGCCCAAAAAAGGTCCTTATCTTAGACCCAGCAAGGGAAGAGCAGGAGGCAAAACTAGCGAAGCAAACCAGGCCTACCAAAGACCCTTGATGTTGTGAAATAATGTTATGAAGTGAAATCACGCCTGCATTAAAAGGCTCAGTACGTTGCTGCTTGACTAGCCAAAGATTTAGAGACAAGGAATGAAAATGAGAAAAGGGGAGGGAAGGAATAAAAAACCCAACAGACCCTGGAGGGGGGGAACCATGCCGATCCTTGCTCACAAATGCTTTCCTTGCTCTCAGGCCGGCACAAAGGACAGGATATCTGCACCAGCCGTATGACATGTTTATTTAGATGAGTTAACTTTAAAACCTTAGCCAAGCTCGGAGGAACCGAAGCCAAGAGAATGTCAGGACTCAACAGATTTGCTCTTGCCGGCTGTAACCCGGACAGCTCTCCATTTCGGCTCGTTGGCACTCAGAGGCCGCTGTCAGCTGCAATGTGTTTCTTGCTGGCTGTTTGTTTAATGGGGATGATGATCATGTTGATGGCTGAGTGCTTCTGTCCAAAGAAGGTAAATGTGTCAGATTCGAGGAGAACTTCCAAACGTGGCATTTTAATTATTATCGGTAGGAAAGGCTGCTATTTCCAGAGGCTTAAAAAAAAAATCATTTGCTAGCCTTCACCATGGACACCTTGCAAGTTGGTTTTATCTGCCTTTCACCTTAGGGGCTAAACCCCATGGGTGAATCCAAGAAGAATCAGTGGGTCCAGCCTCAGGGTCACCTCTCCTATCGTTTCATTCAATGGCCTTACTCTAGTGAAAACTGTGGAAGTGGGTGGGGGGGTTGTGTGCAAACAAACAAATACACACACAAACATGTGTGCACCTTATTCCACATCAGAAACTTTGTATTTTGAGCAGAAAACCTTGCATTTTTTTAAAATGCAGGGGGAGGGTTCTCTGAAAAAAACACATAAAATACAAGAATTTCTGATTTATCTCTGGTCTTTTTGCTCTCATATAAGTTAAAAACAGACAAACAAACAACTCACAGGGATTGCCTTTGATATTCTTTGATCCAATCAGCAATAGTGATCCAAAGGTTTCTGTTTACAGGAGATTGTGTGGTCGTTCCGTCCAACTGTGACATCGCTGACGGAGATTATACGGGTAATTATTGGTTTCAATTGTCAGTGAGAATAATTGAGGCAGGAGAAGGTGGGAGCAAAGAATTTATTGTTCCCTGGACATATCATCAAAATGTGTGAATAATCTAAGTGCTGTTTTATCCAGGTTTAGAGCTGTAGGTGAAGACAAGCAATAAATTCAGCTAAACATGTTTCTTCGACTGAAGGAGTACCCAGACTAAGTTTAGCTTCTGCAGTGGCATAAATAAATGGATGTTGAAATACAAAATGTTGTATTGTCCTTGCACATATGTTGCAAAATGGGGCTGGGGGGAAAGAAACCCCATACTTTGGAGTTTGCCCGTCATGAGGGTGCCCATTAGCCAAAGGTTTTTTTTATATATTCAGGAATAATTTTACACAGAACGCATATGGTTTAGCAATAATTTTCTTTCCATAAAGTAGTGACTGCTCCATTAAAAGCCTGGACGTGCCCAACTCTGAAAAACATTTGACATGGTGGATGAGCAGAGTAGGTGTGTGCTCGGGGAAAAAGTGAGACCCTTGGCAAAAGCCGACAACTGGGATTACGACAACCTTACTATTGCATTGAGCTTTATGTGATTTTAATGTATTCTTCACTCCTACCTACCAATCATTCCAACACATAGTAGTTCAGCCACGTTGGTTAAAAGCCAACTTGTCACACCTAAAAACAGCGAGACCTGCTCTCCTTCCCCATTTCCCCTTCTGTCATTTACAGAATAAGGGAAAAGCCTCTACTCTCAAGCTGGAAGAAACTGTTTTTTAGATCTTTGCTACTGTATTTATAGTGTCTTTCTCAGGCGGAAGGGAGCGTTCTGTGTTCCAGAGAGAAAGGCGTAAATATAGATTCTATGGTTTCAACGTTGAAGGGGCCGTCAACGGGCCAAAAGCGGTCTAGCCAATGGCATAACAGAGTCATGGTGGAGACACGAAGTCTTACACTGCCTTTCCATGACATTTTTTTAAAAATGTCTAGCCGGGATGTAAGAAAAACTCTCCATTTTTTTTTTCATTCTTGACCTCATGAGAAAAGCACATCAAGGAGGGGGACAGGAGGCGAGGGACATCCTTGATCTGGCTTTCCAAAAAGCATTAAAAAGCAGCACCACTGGCTCCTAAAACAGAACCACTGGATCCAAGGAATTTGAAATCTTGAAGCTTTTCAAGATGGCCCCCGCCCAACGGCCACCCCCTTCTTTTAGAACAAGGACTGGCAGCTGCCAGAGATCCAAACCTGCGCAAGTCATCCCCGACATTTTCCAAGCGTCCCAGAATACCTCTGGATCCATTTCTCCACACTCTTGATGCTTAAAACACCCTGCTTCCTGGAGCTGCTAATTTTGACGTACCCAAGAAAAGTAGCTCACTCTGCAGGAATATCACATAATCAAAACAACCGGTATGAGGAATCCTGTTCTATGCACCAATTGCTGGACCTCCAACCACCGGAGCTGGATCAACTTTTAAGATGTTCCCCTCCAGAGGAGGAAAGAGAAGGAACACCTGCCTTCCACAACGCTTTTTTTCCCCAACCTACAGAACTCAAATTAGTCCAGATGTGTCAGGGAAGAACTCTATCACAGAGATAGGTTTTTGATTCTAGCTATCGGAGGCACCAAAGCCGCTATGCTCCAGAGAAGTTTGCATTTTGACTTTTGCTGAATACTTACCTTTGAGACTTTCAGTATGTTATGGATGTGGCTGGGTTTTGGTGCATACCTGGGGAAGATGTACAGCAGTTCCAGTTCTCTGACGCTACAATGGCAGGTTTCAGACAAGCTACCAGCTCTCTGGAGTGTAGCAGGAAGGAAAATGTCGCTCTCTCAACCACTCAAGACTTCTGAAAGTCTAAAATCCTACGGCTAAATCCAGAAGTCTTTACTCAGTTCATACGAAGTCTACATCCTGCCACCTGCATGGCTGCCAACAGCTTCCAAGCCTTTTTAAAAAAGGGATCCAATATAGAAAAGCAGCCGTACCTGACAGATCCCGCTGATGCACATATCCAGGGACGTGGCGTTGCAACGGGTCCCATCCAGGACTTTGGGAGCAAGTTCTACAACTAAAGGCTTCCCCAACGCTTGACACTTCAGGGCACAGGGAGAGCTGGCATCATCATAGACAGGGATCCATTCGTAAAAATGCCCTTGGTATTTGACGTCATTGTAAGCTGAACACTGCTGTGCCCGGAAGTCACCAGCTTCTGCAAGGCAGTCCTGAAATCAGAGAATAAGACAGGTATTTTCCCCCTTCCCTTTCAAATCCCCCGTTTACTTAAAGAAGATTGCAACCCTACACTTACTTACTACCAACACCGATTGCATCCAACTGGACTTAACTCTTGAGTAAACATGGGAAGAATTGAGCTTTACCTGCTTACATCTCATTCAGTTCATCTAAGAAGACGTTGTATTATTGTCCTCTACCTTCCTGGGGGGGGGGGAGTCAAATTCAACTGGCCAGCTCAGTAGACACGTATAGAATAGCGCTTGAAATTAAGCTTGTGAGGTGGAACCCTGTTAGCAAACTTGGTTTAGCAATTTTACAGGTGGAAATCTCCCTGCCAGTTGTAGAGATCTCCAGGTTGCAGCTACAGAATCCAAAGACACCCCCTTGAGCGGAATGATACTTTCCCCCCGTGCGAAGGGTTCAATGTGACTTTTGGTTTGCACAAGGAGTAGGAAAACATGAACCGTGTACGTGGAATGGATAGTGCCCTGTGTGGTTCACAGCAAGCAGAATCCTGTCCTCTCAGATGCAATCAACTGCTTTGTTGTTGTGAGTTTTTAGGGCTCTTTGGCCATGTTTCAAAGGTTGTTCTTCCTGACGTTTCACCAGTTTCTGTAGCCGGCATCTTCAGAGGACAGGAGTAGGAACTCTGTCCATGCTCTGAACACGGCCAAAGAGACCGAAAAACCCACAACAACCATTAGATCCCGGCCGCGAAAGCCTTCGCAAATACAATCATCTGCTTGTTTACCACGAGAGTTGAGTAAGAGGAGAAGTGCTTTCAAACACTGTCATGTCATTCCTTGTCTACAGAAGTGCCTCCACTGTGGAAAGATCTGTTTCCCATCCTGGATGTTTTCTCCATTGAGTGATGAGGTTGAGTGCCCCCTTACCCGCCCGCCCTCTGCTTTAAGCCACAAAATATCTTGGCTATCCCTCTGCCTGCTACACGTGGTATATGTAGAAAAAATGGAAATGCAGGGGTTTCTTTACGAGAAACAAAATCTTTGCCCATCCAAATTTGATGGCACCAAAGGAATGCTCAACTTAACTAAATGATTCAATAAAATGCCTCCACATTGTTGTTACTGCTCTAATAAAAAAATAATAATTTAACAGGTTGCAGGTTGGGTTTAAAGGAAGGCATTAGATTTTTTTTCTTTAAATTTCAGATCACTTTATTATAACAACAAAACCAATGCTGACTAACGATTAACAAGCAATTGTAATGCCATAGGCGTTTGAGATGGAAAGGGCACAGAAATAAGGAGCACAAATAAAGTTATAAATTTAGGAGGGACATGGATTAATACAAAGGGTTTGCATACACACCTATTTATTTTATTTATTTGCCTGCAAAATGAGGCCAAGTCATACTGGCAAAAGCACAGCTGGCTTCTTCACACTAAAATAATAAAGATTTATGTGGAAATGGCTTTTTTCTTTGTATGAATAGGACCCACAAGGATTATCTTAAACACTTCCATATTCTGCACATCATAGCCTTAGAATGTAGCAGTATATATAGAAATGGAAATATATAACATAGGGCTTTAAAAAGATTGAAAAATCTCATTGGGCACTATATAAGGAATAGCTTATGTAGTTCGTTTTTGCTGAGATATCCATAAAAACATCTTAAGGCACTTTAAAAAGAAAATTTAAAAGCAAGCAGGTGAACAGCATTGGTTAATAATAACCTGAGAAAATGTTTTAGCTGCAAACCACAAATTCATTTTATGATAGAAATATCATTATTATTACTATTATTCTGGGACTGACTTATTCTACTGCACTCTATTGAGCTTTACTAGTAAAATCTTTTTTAAAAATCCAGATGAAATCCATTTCATGGCAAATACAAATCTCGTTATTTTAATTAAAACGACCTTAGCTTCACTTGAATTATCCACCTGGATTTTAGGGAAACAACATACTGCAGTGCAAAACGGACTTTAAAAATTATCTGTTCTGCACAACTATATCTGCTACTTGCATTGCTCTGTTTTAACAACTTAATGTAGTAATGAATAGCTCTGAAAGTTGGTACAGAACTTCTCGCTTACGATTGATTGATTGATTTCATTTATATACCACTCCATTAGTGGTGTATAAGATTAAAACCTACAACCTTCAAATTGCACAAAAACAAAAACAAAAACAAAAACAAAAACAAAAACAAAAACAAAAACAAAAACAAAAACAAAAACAAAAACAAAAACAAAAACAAAAACAAAAACAAAAACAAAAACAAAAACAAAAACAAAAACAAAAACAAAAACAAAAACAAAAAGAACATTTAAAAACAATACAGTGATACAACACAGAGAAATCAAATCATCACTATTAATAACCATAGAAAATCTAGAATTAATGTTAAAAAGGACAGCATCCAGGAGGTTCGGTTATTAAAGGCAGCTTTAAATCATTCCATCTTTACCAGTTTTCTAAGCATAAGGAAGGATGGATCCTGGTGTATGTCAGTATTTTGTTCCAGGGACTAGGGGCCATCACCAAAAAGACAGTATTCCTTGTATTTGCCTTTTTGGCCTTGCTTGGTGTGGCTACTTTTAACAACATGAATTGAAAAGGGTGGAAGAAATGGGTAACTGATTTCTGGGAGAGCCATTCCAACGTGTATCATAGACCCTTGAACGGAACAAGTTACATAGTAAGATAAAACATGTTTAGAAACACACTCTTATAGGCTGATTTGTCATAGTGTGTTGTTTCAACCAAAGATTAATGCATAAATGGGGGTAAGGGAAGTGCATACATGTGAAAAAGACTGTGGGTCACATTACAGACAGCACGTCATTAGAAGAGGAAATTCCTGAAGTGTTGGAACCATCTGATTGTCCCAGCAGACGCTTATCGCACCTCCTATAGTGTGCAAAATGCATTTGTTTTGTTTTGTGACCGGTCATGAAGATGTAAGCGTAGCTTTGTTTGCAAATCTGATTTCTGAGTCATAAAGGCCCGCCGAAATTACATCTCTATAATGACGTGCTAGCTATAATGTATAGTTTAGCTGTCAAGCTGGAAAGAGACCAAAATTCCCACCCCTGTTTTTAGCACAGAGAAAGTAAACAACAGAGCAGGGATATTACACAAACGACAAGCTGCACTCCCAATCAAGAACAGAACATGGATCCTTCAAAGACCTCATTTAGGAATCAAAACCTGGGCAAAACGTAATAGATTCCCATCAGGAGCGAGGGAAGAAACACCAAACATAACAAAGCATTCCTTGAATACTTAAAGCCTTAAATCTGTAGTCTGGCTTCTTACAAAATATGTACACAGAACAGCCTCATTAATTTCTCTTGTTTTTCTACACTCTTCTATCGGATCCTCTTTCTTGCTTTTGAAAAACCAACACCCTAAACTTTATGGATGCGATCCAAAATGCATTTACACTTTCTTAAATGCTTTATATATATATTGCAGTCTTCCCTGGTAGCAGAGGAGAGGGTCATACCCTGAAATGCCTTCTAAACAGACCTTCTGGAGCAGAACTGGGGAAAAAAATGTTGTTTAAAATGGCTTACATGCTCGCCTTATTATTTACTTTGGCCCGTATCCGATGAGGTGGCTTGAAGGCTATGACAGCTCACCACGAAATAAATTTGTTATTCTTCAAAAGGTACTGCAATATTTATGTCTCTTGTTCGGCTTTTGTTGTCGCTAAGACAGACTGACACGGCTGTGTCTTCAAAAAAAAATGAAAAACAAAAACTTCACACAGAAGGGAAGCTTTGCAAAGTGAGGCAAAACAGACTTAGCTCTCAGTATTATTGGATAGCTGCTAAGGCCAGCTGTAGCCCATCTGCCTGGACATCTCCATGAGTGCCATTAGGAAAAGAGAGAGTAGAAAAAAAATATTCATCATCATGAGAAGCTTCTGCTTCTGGTGAGTTGCCAAGGTGGAAGAGACCATGTTTTGGTCTCTGTTAAAAAAAAAAATCTCGAACGTTTCTCCCAGTTATCACTTAACTGGGTCATAAACAGGCCGAGAAGAGAGGGGTGCCTTTTGATCTACAGTGAGTTCAAAGAGCATCTGCAAGGACTTGAGGGGAAAAGCAGCAAGATAAAACTTAAGGCCAGCCCCATATAATTCGCTGCCTGAGCCAGGCTACCAATAATTGACCTCCCTCAAAAGCTAGCTACGTTGCACCCAAGCATTGCCAAACTTAGGTGGGCATGGGAGGGTGGCGGTGGGGAGCCCTTTAAGGATCTCTCTCCTTTCCTCTCAATGGCTTGTGGTAAAAATACAATAGTGACAAATTAAATAAACAAAATTTCCTGGAAATTTGCTATGTTGGGGGATTGCTTCTTTCTGCCTAAGGGCAGACCCAGGCTTGATAAAACTCACAAGCCCACAATGAACTTTACTTGAATTTTACCCTCCTTCCAACCTGACTGGAACTTTCTGCGCTTCCTGCTACCCCCCTGAGTTGTTCCTTTGGCTTCAAGTCCCGTACTAACTATGGTGAAATCTTATTTTTCAGGCTCTGATCCAGCACACATTCTTGATTCTGACTCCGGATAAATTCTTAGAGCCTGATTCCAACTCCATGCGTTCTTTATTTGGCTCTAGATTGCCCTGCAGGAACACGGGACAACAAAACGTTTGACCAACTTTTTTTTTCATTTCCTAACGCCATGTGAAAGAAATACCGGAGGAAGGAGGCGTGGAGACCATCAGACACTTTTGCACTAGACAAGAAGAGTAATGGAGGTCATTTATTTTTATGGACGACATTTGCAAAGCCATACGTATAGTTCCCAGATCTTTGAGAAAGACGTACACTCGTTTCATTTTAAGAATGAGCACTTTGCTCCAAAAGGCACAGCTACGTGCATGCATTCATAACACTAGTGTAAGCAACACATCTACCAGAAACAGATGATAAAAGAAATTTACACAAAAGCAGGTATCATGCCCAAAATTCTAAACATAATATTCCACTGTGTTGGATTGCATTGTATGGTTTACTTGTGCTTTAATTTGTTTTAATTTATTGGATTATCTGCATTTATGTGTTGGTTTTTAAGTACCCAGAAAGTACATGTTGCACTATTGGGTGGTCTATAGGTTCAATTAATTAACAAACACATACACAAACAAACAAAGGGTCAAAGAAAACCAGAGATCAAACTTACATTATTGCTGCAGGTTTTATAACGAATATTCCTGCCTTCACAGTTCCTGAGGAAAGGGTCAACAACAAAAGTATGAATGCAGTTGAGTAAGTAGAAGCAAAAAAATCGAAACAATATATTTTCCCATTAATTGCTCTTTCAAATATTGGACATGCATTACTGTTCCTCGTGTTTAATGGTGTTTAGAAGATGAATTGGATAACATGATTGTCTGGTGATGCAGTTCCAGCTTTTCCTGTCAGCCCTAAATCTGTGTACACTTCCAGTCTACCAAAACATTTCTGAAATATTATGCAAAAAGCACTCCATGGGTTACCAATGATTTTCTTCAACAAATGATTTATGTGGAGAACAACAGAACTGCCTAAATTGCATCGTAATTCATGAGCAAGTATACAGCTTACAGAAGGCAGAGCTCAGAGACCGTGGGTGGTGGGAGACGAGGAGAGAGAAAGGGCTAGAACCTAGCAAAGAGACAGGCTCCTCAAAGTTAATCCTCCCTCCTTGCCTCTTGGTCTTTCTTTGACAGGAATTGGACCAGGGTTCCCAAGTCAACAACATCCTATTTCCTGCACGTTCAAGCCAAAGCTTAAGATCAAAGATAGACCCTTGTGATGTCTCCAAAGTGGGAGTGGCAAGGGTTGGAAGGAGGAGTTCCCCACCCACCCAGTTTTTACGCTGCTGATGGCAGAGCTTGGAAAACAAGGAAGCTCATGAGTTGCAGTGCTGGCGCTCCACTCCCTGCTTTGCTCCAAGCAGGTGTGCCTAAAACATGGGAGAAGGGGTAAGAGATTGGAAGGGCAGCTCATGGAAGTATATGCATGTGGGTTTCTGGTGTCATTTGGAGCAACACAGGCAACAAGACCCTTGGTTGTTGAGAGAGAACCCTACCACCAGCTGGGAAGGAGTAGGGATGAAAACCTATTTTCAGCTCCAGTTCTGCTCAACCTGTTCTCATTCACCAAGTATTTTAGATGCTTACTTGCAAGATAAAACTAGCTGGGTTTATCTCAGACACAGAAGCCACTGGGAATATGTTTCAGCAGGCACGTGAGGGACTAATTATCCCCATCTCTGTTGCAAAGCATCTGGGAGCTTGCAAACTCCGAAGAGTTCAGTTGCAAAAGACTGGAAGGTAGACAGGTGGGGTTCTCTTATGCTGTTGTTACACAGTATTGCAGTACAGTAGAACCCCAGAAAATCCAGCCTCTACCCCATGAAGAATCCCGCCCTTCCCTTCTATTCAATGTTTGCAACTTCCAGTGTGATATGAAAGACTAACCTGCCATTTAAACACCTTCTTAAAGAATACGAGGCACCTCCACCACATGTGCGCGAGCAGTCGCTCCAGGCTCCCCACGCATCCCAGCCACCGTCTTTCTCTTCATCGGACTGGGTCGTCTTTGAAGACTGGAAACGAGAGAGAAAGAAAGAACAGTATTTGCAAATGATTTATCCTGGGCAGAGTCCTTAGTCTGGTATGGAAATCAGCAAAGACGAAATACTGTACATTATTATTTAGGTAGGTAGGCAGGCAGGCAGGCAGGCAGGCGGGTGGAAGGAAGGAAGGAAGGAAGGAAGGAACGAAGGAACGAAGGAATGGAATGGAATGGAATGGAATGGAATGGAATGGAATGGAATGGAAGGAAGGAAGGAAGGAAGGAAGGAAGGAAGGAAAATGCTAATTCAGCCCAACCAGTGGAACAGAATATGCTGAGATAGTTGCTTGGAATCTGTTTTGTTGCCTGCCATTTTGTTCTACCTGTCCAGATTCCTGCAACCTTACCTGCAGGCAATCATGCCTCTGCCTGGTTAATTTAACTAATATATTCAATCTGAAGCAATAGCTTGACCAATGGAGAGTATTTTGTGAATAAAGACTGGCTTAAGTTGACTCAGCACAGGTGCTTGCTGTTTGACACATAACAATTAAATAAAATGCTAAGTCCTCGTGTTCATGTGCAGAAAGTAAAATATCTAATGCTAGATTGCAAACATTTAATCATTATATTCACGAAGGCTTTCACTGCTGGGATCTAATGGTTGTTGTGGGTTTTTCGGGCTCTTTGGCCGTGTTCTGAAGGTTGTTCTTCCTAACGTTTTGCCAGCCGGCATCTTCAGAGGACTGTCCTCTGAAGATGCCGGCCACAGAGACTGGCGAAACATTAGGAAGAACAACCTTCAGAACACGGCCAAAGAGCATTAAAAACCCACAACAACCATTTAATCATTATTTGATAATCCAGTTTTATAAACTGTGAAATCTGGATCCTGGGACTTTTCATTTGGAGAGAGAGGTTAGAATTATACACTAGGGAGTTCTACTATTGCAATCCAGGTGTGTGCAACATTTTTACTATAACCCCGAGTCCAGTGAAAGTCAAACAAGATAGAGCAAGGACCACATAATAAGAAGCTGATATATCTACCAGAAAATGTGCCACCTGCATATTGGAGTTCAAGGCATCCAGCGTGGGCCGGAAGGAAGGAAGGAAAGAAGGAAAGAACGAACGAAGGAACGAAGGAACGCAGGAACGAAGGAATGGAAGGAAGGAAGGAAGGAAGGAAGGAAGGAAGGAAGGAAGGAAGGAAGGAAGGAAGGAAGGAAAATAGAACTGGAAAATAGCATTTAGAACTGGGACCAATTGGTCCAAAATACTGCCTTGCTCTCTGAGGAGGGGAAAACAGGAGACATCAGGATAGCGAACAGAAACAACAACAACAACAAGCAAAGAAAGCAACCAGGGCTCCGATCTACAAACATATGGTATGATGGAGTTGATGAGAGGAAACTTGGATCTCCCTGCATTGGTGTTTCCTACATTTCTGCTCCAAACCCAGGCACCTAAAAACGCATTCATTCCGGCCCATCTGATTCCAAATTAGTAAACCTCTATTTTTAATCATCGGTAACTACTTTTCCATAGCACATCACACAGGTTTGAAGTGCAGCCATGGCAAACTTTACTGGATACCTTAATTTTGCTTTCACAAACTAAAAGTATGTTGACAAAGAGATTTGATCTTTGCCTTAAGTGGCTGGGATTAAGTGGTACTGATGCAGGGAGATGGAACTGCACATAAAGAACACCTAATCATCTATATTTTCCATAGAATTATATCCCTGGCCCTTCCTAGCCTCCTGTCGGTAGCATGATCGTAACTCTGTCAGATGCATAAATATTGGTCTAAATGGGGCTCTTCAAGAGTGATAATGTTATGCACAAGGGCACCCACCCACAGCCAAAACACACCACGCAGTAGAGATCCGAGCAGGCAAGAGGGGCTTTGAGCTTGTGGTTGTCTAACAGAGCACAATCTGTGCCAATGTACTTCTGAAAAAGGTTTATGATATGACACTGGCTCTTTTTGTCCAAGAGAAGGCGTGCACATATGGCAAATCCATGTAATTTGAATCCATTCAACTTCCTCTGATGGTGGAGCAAAATAAGTAACACTCCCCCCCCAAAAAAAAAATCCACACACACTTACAGGGGAAACACATCGGAGCATCCATATGCGCTGTGTAGTTGCCTTTATTTGAATCAATTTTAAAAACTTGATTCAAATGTGGGTTTTTTCCCCTAGTGTGACCATGCTTAGCAGAGAAAAGCAAACATGAAAAATCGGTATTCACTCATATAAAACTTCTGGACATGAAGGGCTGCTCACTAGATTTTTTTTTATTCTTGTCTCTATGAACTGTCTTGAGTCATCAAGACACCTGAAGGAGTTCTCAAAATTTCTTGTCTCCAGGTGAGAAGGGGACCCAAAGAAAGCTCTCTTTTACTCCCCAGCAACATCTTTATAGGTAGCCAAGCGACTTATGTGCAAAATGGGCATCCTTTCACTCTGATAAGAAAGCTACAGGCGTAGAGGAGGCACAGAGGGATGGCTCGGTGGTTTTGGAAAAAGACCCAAGTCTTTCTCTCTGATGCTCCTCATCCTGTGATGTTCTCCGACACCTGCTCTGTGGGGGGAATCCCCACTGAATGGAGGGCTTTGTCTTAAAAGGGAAGACGGCACTGTGCTTTCAAAGGTGAGCCAACACTACATGCAACTGTTGTGTAGCGCATTTGAAGGGCAACATAATTTCAGCCTCCATCTCCATGACCTCTAAATTCATCCCTTATATATCTCCTCCAGCATAGCTCAAAAGACCATCCTTGGCTCAAAAGAACAAGCCAACGATGACCCAGTCCCAGTCTGTATGATGATCTCTCTAGGAAGGGGATTTGTTCCCTGAGAAATCTTCAGCCAATCTTCTCCCACATCGAGACCGTTGTTATGGCTTGGACCCCAGACATGGTTGCAACATGGAGGTGGAAGTTGTGATCTAAGGCCCAAGTGAGGAATGCAAGTGGAACACTCCCAGTCTGCAAACCAGGACTCCAGTTCTATGGAGAACCTTCTTGGTCTGCAAACCGGGGTTCCTTTCCTGTGCAAAACCCATGGGACAGGGTGAATAAAGAGTATCCATCAGAGCTGAGCAGCTGCTGGAAAAGATCTCTGTTTTTCATCCCATCCTCTGGCCAGGCATAGGTTGTCACCATCATGACAAGCTTCATCTTAAGCCATGATACCTGATGGACCATTAACAGCCAGAGAGCCAAATCAGGTTAAGTGAAGTGGAGGAGGCAGACAGTGGTGTCCTGCTAGCCAACATACAGATGCTAATCTCCGTTTGGTCAGTTCATCAACATAACCTCAGTAACATACAGTAATTAATCAATATAGGTAAAGGTAAAGGTAAAGGTTCCCCTTGACAATTTTTGTCCAGTCGTGTTCGACTCTAGGGGGCGCTGCTCATCCCCGTTTCCAACCCATAGAGCCAGCGTTTTGTCCGAAGACAATCTTCTGTGGTCACATGGCCAGTGCGACTTAGACACAGAACGCTGTTACCTTCCCACCAAGGTGGTCCCTATTTATCTACTTGCATTTGCATGCTTTCGAACAGCTAGGTTGGCGGGAGCTGGGACAGGTGACGGGCGCTCATTCCGTCGCGTGGATTCGAACTTACAACTGCTGGTCTTCTGACCTTGCAGCACAGAGGCTTCTGCAGTTTAGCCCGCAGCGCCACCACGTCCCTAATTAATCTATATAGTTATGGCCAAACTTAAGGCCCTACTTCTGCATCCACTTCTCTCTTCCCAACGGTGAGGGAGGATGGCTTCCATTTTGTACTGGAAGCAGGTCCAGAAATGGAAGGACTGGAGGCTGCCTTCCATTTTGGTTGGGCGAAACTGGGCCCCAAGTTTCAAAAGATTGCGAAACGAGGACTTAAACCAACAAAAGCCTTAGAAAAGCAAATCAGCAAGCAATTCTCAGGCGTCGTCCCTAAACAAAATACTGCCTTACTGTGCATGATTATAACTTATTATTGATTTAATTCCTAACTGTGAACCTCCAGATTTTTCCCAAATTCGAATCCTGCCCACATCGCTGATTTGGTTCCCCTTCTCCTCCTTATTTGAATTTGGTTTCACAGCATTGGCAAATATAATCTGTAGATTTGATGAAAGCTGACAGCTAGTAAATCAAATATTATTTTGCTAGTAAATTAGCAGGCTAGCTCAAACTACTTTTAACTCTTTTCCCATGGGATGAATGATTCGGACTGGCTGGAGTTTAAGTCAACAGTGTGGGTACCGGTTTAGTCAAATGATTACGAAGAAAGACTTGCCAGTGCAAACGAGTGCTTTGATTGTCCTTCTAAGGCAAATTAGGTTTCTGGAAAGAGATGCCATTTGGAATAATTATCTGCAGAAAAGGTGAACGTTAAAGAATGAACACAGTCTCGTTTTGTAGCGTTCTAGACAGTATTCAGTCCAGTGATTCTCAGCACACACTTACAAGGGAGAAGCACCTGCTGAATCCCATGGGATTTACTCCTGAGTAAATATTCTTAGGATTGTTGGCAGAGCTACACACAGGTGGCTGAATCTCATCGTGTGATGGCACTAGTTTTACAGAGAGAGAGAGAGACAGAAGAAGGAAGGAGTAGACATCTATAGCACCACTAGTTTTACAGAGAGAGAGAGAGAGAGAGAGAAGAAGGAAGGAGTAGACATCTATAGCAACCCCAATGTACATTTATGCTTATCATTATTATTTCTACAGCTACCTGGACAGCTCAGTAAGTTAGAACAACTGACTGCGGAGCCAAGAATTGGGAGTTCAATTTCCCACAGTGACTTGTAGCTGAAGAACCAGTCTGTGTGGCTCTAGGCAAGTGGCAGAGCGCCCCCAGAAGGCAGCATGTGTCCACTACATCTGAATATACCTGGAAAACCCTGTGGGGGGGTCACGATAAGTCAAAACCCACTTGACTGAATGCAGTTGTTATTATCTATATATAATGGCCATGGCACTTTACAGACCACGAGTTGACAAGTTTAGGCTCCAAAAAA